TTGATCAAAAAATGAGTATTTTTTTCTCTATTCGGTGGTATCAATATCTGGATTTTTGATGATAATGCCCTTCTGCAAACTCTAATTTTGTATTAACTCCGGAATAAGGGTTACCTTATCATGACCTTTCATCTGTGAAAAATTCAGCCTTGTGACAAAAGAGTGGGAAGTGAATCGTTTTCTTGAGCGAATATTTTAATACATACACTTTACTAACAATGACAACAGCGGATATTATGTCCTACTGTGTCCCTTAGAATATGTCTTATTCACGGCCGCACGATATTTGTTAGTAGTTACATCTCCTGGTTATCTCTGCATACCACTCTTTACCGGATTCATTTTCACTTTGCTTGGCATTAAATTATTTGATTCCCTCACGGTATACTGCAACATGGGGATTAAATTGATTATATACATAAAATTTTCCTCGTTTCTTCGTACGTTCTTTCCTTAGCTAACAATTGAAATGTCAAGTCTCTTAATAACTTTTTTTTAAGACCGACCAGAAAACATACACTTTCTGAAAAATGTTTCGTCCAGAAAATAATTTTTTGCCGATCAAGACCGGAAAGTAGACGTTAGAGACGGGTAATAGTAATTTCTACGTCACAAGATCGGAAAGTAGTGTTTTGCAAGTCGAGACAAGCAGATTCCAGGGCGAGCCGTAGGCGAGACATGAAAGCTTGGGGAGACCTCCTGCTTAACACTAATTTTTGGTCGCGTGACGTACAATATTTTTTTTAAGACCGACACTTTGATGTAAACTCAATTATTTAATAAAATGATTGACAAATACTAAAACTAGATAATGGATACAACAATACAGCTCCACAACTCCGTGTCGGCGCCTTTGATTTGGCGGTCGAGAACCAAGCAAGACGGAACGGTGCTATCTCTGTTAGATTCGACGGAAAAGTCGGGCCCGGATTAAAAAATTAAAATAATTTGTATGTGGCGTAATATCCTCGTTAACAGATGTTTTAAGCGACAAATTGTGGCTTGGATCCTTTTTACACCAAGGGCTTCAATTGTTAACGAATTTTGTCACGCCCGTGGATGCAAATCAAGTGGTATCCCGTGTGTCTGGCAAGTGTTACTCATCGCGCAAAGGATTTATACCTAGATAAACGAATGCTTCGACTGAGGTCTGGGAACTCTATGGTATTCTGGAATTAAAAAAAATCGGTCACTTGTGCTTTTATTTTAACAATATTGGTTTTATTTAGATGTATTATTATTCATTGGAATACAGATTTGTAGAAGCATTGTATAAATATATTTATACAATGGTAGAAGTAATACTTTGACAGTTTTTATTAATATAATATATTCAATTATTATCTGACCATACCGAAGTAGGGAATTTTGAAACTTTATAGTAATGCGAAATTTGAATTACAATATTACACGAAATTACATAATTAGTACTTATTTTAGGTAGGTACTAAATTTGTACTTGGAGAAAGTAATATCGATTTTTACAAGAAAACTTGAAAAGTAAATTAATTTAGTTCCTATTTCTGATGTAAAACTAAAACACACCGACACTTTCAGGATTTTAGTTTTAATACTCGTAATTAAATTAATATCATGTAGTTTGATTAAAATTTTTTTTTTTTAAATGTAGACCCAATAAAAACAAAAATGCTTTTATCGAGTCTACAAAAAAATAACTTATTTTAATGTATATTTAATATCAATAACTAAAATATATACTGAAAATTAGTTTGACAGAATTGTCACTTATTTAAAAATTTTAAAATAATAGGAGTTGGGTGACCAAAATATGAACTGTGATTTGTGGATTTAATTTTTTTAAAGGGTTCTCACTACCTAAAATGGATATGAAATATATTCGTTTAGTTGAACGCAATAGCATACTTTTTCGTTTTGTAGCCTGTGCGTAGAAAAATTTTTTTTTTTTATTCTTTTGGAAAACGTTGGCATGGATGACTAAATGGTATTGGGTTAATTCTAAAAGTATGGTACAAATGTTATTTTTTGGACCCAATTCTTTAAAATTATTTTGAAATATCTTTTCAATATTGAAAATTAGTTCTACAAATTCATCATTAGGCAGTTGCAGATTTGCAAATGTATCTGAATTGGCGTTATCATATGCCTTTAAAAAGCAATAAAAAGAAAAATCATCTAATAATCGTGATCTTTGTTATACTTAAGACAGGTATCACAGGAATGGATCCGCAAGGCTTTTATTAAAAGGTAACCACACACGTGACTAATAAAATTTTTCTGTAGCAACTCGTCTTTACAATAATTTAGGATGTTAATAATTTCATCATAAAATAACATTTAAAAAAACATACATTTTAATTTTCCAGGCAAAAGTGTGGCATCCTGTATATCCAAAGATATTTTTAAAATATGTAGGTATTTTTCAAATCCATATAACTTTTATTTAAAACTTTTGAAATATTGAACAATTACGCACTGTATAAATTATATTTTTAACAATGAAAATTTCTTATAATGTGGTACTTATCAGTTTTGGTCCTTGGGAAAACGAAATAATGTTTTCTTGCAGGTATAACCCTTATGTAAACAGTTTTTGAGTGCACTTACAGCTAAAGAGTCTCCAAAATAATAACAGTACCTTTAACTTAACCCAACAGAGCTCAAACAAAATAATTGAAATTATAGGCTCAACGAAATTATGCAATCAACGAAATTATACGCTCGGCTCAATACCTTACCTAAGTGCGCTTCTGAACGCCAAAGCCTTCTTTTCCGTCCGAAGGCGGAGCTTAAACGATGCGCGACGGAATGAGCGTTTTCAGACCTAACGACACGATACCGACACGACACCGGCAGGACAGCAACACCGACACGTTATCGGCTAATGATCTTTCAAACCAAAAAATTTATTCGACTACTGTCTCGAGATATCGCCGGATTTTTTTTATGGTGGTTTATAAAAAAGAAAAAACATGCCTAAATAATAATATTCTATAAAGAAAAATAATAATCCCAGCAGGCAACAATTTATATTTGCTATATTTATTGTACTTAAGGCGAAAAACAGAGAAACCGAAGACGGTTTTGGGTGCATCCTATGATCAAAACTAGGTATCTGGAGGGCACCTTCTATACATCGTATTTAAAGTTACTCGCCATAATAATATGTTATTTTTTTATTGTTTTTAATTATAAAATAATAATACCCTGTCACTCGTAGTGTTAAAAAAATACTGCCAGCACGACGACATGATAGGGAAAGCTGCTACCCACCGACATGTCGGCGCCTGCAACGACATAACGCTGATATGATGGTAAGTGCGAAAGCGTTACATTGCATTAATATATTTTTGCACGCTCCGATATCGTTGCCGTGTCGTGTCGGTATCGTGTCGTTAGGTTTGAAAACGTTCAATCGACGCAAACCGTTGCCGCCAAGAGATTGTTTTTAGCTGTATTGTATAAGCTGTGATACAACTGCACAAACTAACCAAATACATTTTCTGTCAGATAATTCAAAATTTGAATCCATATTTTTAAATTTTCGAAAACAAATTTGACATAACAAATTAAAAATCAGCGAACTGTCACTTGGCAATAAATCGGAACGTTGTTACCATAATAACAAAATCAAGGGAGACTGTATAAACAGCGATCGGAAAAATGAAAAACAGGGATCGATAATAGTAGTTTACGAAAGTGGTCTTTTACTGGACGAGTGGGCCAATTGCAGGGCGAGCCGCAGGCGAGTCCTGCAAGCCTGCGAGTCATCATATTTTAATAAATTCATGTATTTTATAAAATGTCAAACATTAAATTATCTATCTATTGTGATGTTTGTTTATTTTAAACAACAGTTTATTTATTAATAATTTATTTAAACGTTCTCGCCAAAAATTAGAAACACTATGACGTTATATTTGGAATAGACTAGAAATAGTATCCCGTTGACTCTGGAATGTTCGCGAAAGTACCTCCGCCATAGTCGTCACATAGGTTTGGTCTTAAGGGGTTTAATTATGTATAATAATCGGACAAGTTGAACCTCAAAGACCAAATAAGATAGAGAGGGACTTGGAGGGTTCGAGCAAGACTGAATAATGAAATGGCTCACATAAAACTATTTATCTATTAAATTATCTAGAAGAGAACTGTCAAGGTACTTTAACAAAAATAGTGTTCAACTCGTAAGGAATGCTCATTTTCTACTCGTAAGATTTACAACATTCTCCTGTGGCTCATACTTTAAATATCATACTGAGAGGAAATTGGTACCTTTTCATGTTTGTTACACAATCAAGACTATTTTCTAATTCTATTCTTTAATTCACGTCCATTTTCTCTCAGCATTTAGGTATAGCAGAAGTAACAGTTGGAAAGGCTTTTGCCAATTCTCCCACTTTATACACATAAATTGACAGGTTTGCGGCGGATCTCACCGAAGTGGACGCGACACATTGGCGTACAAAATTATTTTATAGATGTTAATAACAATTTCGAGTAACTAGTTTAATAAATTGTGAATAGCTTTTGAAATTTTGTAAAATTATGATTTAAATATTATAATACATGTTTAATAATTATTTATAGTCCATAAATACATGCGATTGTCCGGTTGCGCCGATAACAATTTAAAATTACTTATTCTATGAAACGACACTGGCAGGTAAACATTACTGCGAAATTCTCGAAGCCGTCCGACGTGGTTTGACGTTTACCCCCTCTCTACCTACCAAAAGCCTTTCCAACTTTTACTTTCGCTATAGTAGTTTTTCTATGTAGACTTAGCTCACTACTTGAAAGGCACCGTTGCAGTTCGCCCTCTTAATACACATATGGCTGCGAATTTGCCGATGCGTCGTACTTATAAGTGTGAGTGAAGTCTACTTAAGTAAACGCACTTTGTAGATACAATCTTAATATAAATAAGTTATTAAAAATTTATTATTTGCCAATTCATCATATCAATCTATCTTATCTAATATTTATAGTTCTAATATAATTGTACAAATTAATTACAGATTACTGACCCGACCTCAGTGAAAATTCGTCTCGAAGCTATGGAAGATGATGAAAGTGAAGTAAGTAAAGAAGGAAGTCACGGTTAGAAGAAAATAAATTATATTTAAGGCGATATATTTTGTTCAAAGACTGTAATATACATTACATTGTTAACGTAAGGCATTTTTTTTAATTACTGATCTATATCCTGGTAAAGTATAGTACATTCGAGCGCTTAGATTAGAGATACTGTAACACCCTATTACTACGATAACCCAATATACACATGTGTATATAAAGTTGCCAACCCTTGGACATCATTCTTAATTTCTACGATCGATATTGCGATCGAAAGAGACAGATGCATTTTACCGCGTTTTCTAAGACTCAAGTCGATTCTTGCTGAAAAAGCAATCAGTACCATATTTTGTGTTTTTATCTTTTATATTCAATGTTTTAACTTCTTTTCTTTGTCAAATATGAGTTTCTTTGTTAGTAAATTTTGTTAAGCGTGTAATAAACTAATGCCACTAAGATTTAACGGTTTTAATACTTTCCAAAAAAAGAAGGGCTCTCCGAACCTACGAAATACATAGAATTCAACACGACACTTGCTATAATACCTATTTAAAATTATAAAAAAGTACTTTTATCCGATATGCTATGGGTGCGACTACCGAATATTTTATTGTACTCCGGTAAGGTACTGATAACCTAAAATGTACCTACTTAGATTCGAGTACTTGTACTTGGCTACTCCCCAGCTCTGCCTTTATCAAGTTGAAAACTCGATTGACCACGGCACCTATCCTAGCCTATCCTCGGGAAAAAGGATAATTCGTTTCGGACTGCGACGCATCCCAATGTGGGCGCCGTGTTATCACAAGAACAGAAGAGGGAAAATAAAGAATTCCGTATTTTAGTAAGACTTTGGGGGAAGCTGAAAAGAATTATGCGTTACTAGGAAATAACTTTTAGCTATTGTCAAAGCCCTTGAACACTTTCATACTTACTTTTTCAAAAGAAGTTTTATCATTAGAAGTGACCGTAGAGCCTTGTAGTGGCTGATGAATTTAAAAAAAATCTGAAGAACAAGTTGCTAAATGGATGGACTGCAACAATATAACTTCAAGCGATAGTGCATCGAAGAGGCCGTCTCTATAGCAACGCAGACATTTTTTCCAGGCCAACCTGTTTAGAACGACAATGCCGGTACTGTAAAAGGCTCGAAGAACGATAGGAGCCGGTTGAAGAAGTTAGTCTTCAGGGAACCACTATCAAGCCAAAGGGTAACGAAGACGAAATCATCCTTGAAAGTCTAAGAAGAAAAGCTCAAAAAAAAGACAAATGAGTTGAAGGTTGTCCGAGAATGGCTCAAAAATAGATTTATACCTACATGGCAAGATATAGTCAAATATAGTGAAACTATTAAAGGGTACTGGACTCAGTGGGATTCCCTGTATCTCCACGATGACATATTACACTGGAAGTGGAAGTACGTAGTTCGACAAGCGGTACTGCCTAAATCATATGTTAGAAGTGTGTTGGAGAAGCTTCTTAGCAATCGTTCAGGAGGACATTTTGGTAATAAAAGGACACTGGTACGAGTCCGGGAAAGATTTTATTGGGTTGATTGCAGATTGCGTTAATTTTGATTTTTGCGCCCTCTAGTGGGATAAAAAACGTATTGTAAAGTGTGACACTTCATCTGAAAGCTATATTAGGGATTTAATGGTAGCTTAAATTTGTTATTTTAGTAACTTGTGATCACAGTTTATGCAGGTTGAGTGGAAGAGCGCCAATTAACCTCGGTTCTGTAGTTAAGTACTAACGTCGCCCATTGCTCGATGTGTAATCTCCTATTATTAATTATTTTTTTGTTATCTTTCTGTTTCCTTTTGTATATTATATGTACGATAATGAGCAATAAAGTCATTACTATTATAATTATTATTATTTTTTGATGTTAGAGATCTGCACGATGTTTAAATTGTTTAAGTTCATGTTTCATTAAATTAGCTTGTAACCTCCCACCCCCGGTCGCTTTTGAATTATTTAAAAGCGTGTTTTTAATTACCTCCCTCCCCTTTGTGAACCTTAAAGTAATTCATACTTACTGTACTTGGCCTTTTTCCTCTAGTAGTAGTGATCCTTTAATTAATTTATAATTATTTTTCAAAAACAATTTATTTTGTGTTATTAATATTTGAAAATGAAACTTCCTACTTTGTTCAAACTTTGCAATAAACCATTAATTACTTAAATCAACCCTGCCCTGATATCCAAAACGAATGTTTAGAAAAAAAGTCATATTTAGTAAGAATGAAAATAATCAAAATTGGCATTCTATGCCTATGAACAGGGGTGGGAAACTGGTATGCGCAGGCCTGGGATAGAGAAAAAATCAACCACGTCCGCGTGGCGCTGCAGTCGGGTGGTGGGGTAGGTGGTGGGAGTGTAAAGGACAGGTGAATATTGATTTTTGTGGGGGGTGTCATGGCGTCTTGGCTTAAACCAAACGTGAACTTTGTTTATTTATATTGGTGACTCGTATTCAGTTGTTTTCATTTCCAATTTGCTTAATTGATTTAGTTGACCACTGTTAATAAGCTTGTTTTTCCATTATAAATTTGTGCTTTTTCCGCTGTTATTTTGTGCTTTTTCATAAAGATGCGTAATTATAGAAAATGTGGTATACCGAATTGCCTTGATGTGGACAACAAGATGCATCGCCTGCCCCACCCTACGAATTCACCCGATTTATTTGATATTTGTGCACTTGCTGTTCGTTGTCCAAGATTTAATAATAAAACGAGACTACAAATTTATTCCACCTTTGTAGTATGTCATAAACATTTTGAAGAGAAGTATAAAGTCCATATATACAAATTGTATGGATGGAACGATATTTTCAGAAGTGACGTAGTTCAGTCCCAGTATAAAGAATAATACAGTAGCGACAGATCATTTTTTATGAGGTGTCCATATTTTTCTGCGCATGTCCGAAAATAAGCGACAAAAACGTCAACGTCAATAGTGTCAATGCGATGTAAATATGACATTATTTTTGTTTGTTTGCAGTGCATATTTTGAGACATTTTTATTATTTTAGTTTTTCATTTATTGTGTGATATTTTTGAAATGGCTTCTGCACCTGATCAGAAAAAAAAGAGATGTGTATATCGCCCTTGTCCATCTCAAACAGAGTAAACAGACAAAGGGACAAGTTATTTTGCATTTCCCATGGAGCCATAAAGGTATGTCTTGAGAAAATACTTTCAATTTTTATATTTGAAAACCAAATATTTATTTGACAACCAAATATTTATTATTTAAATGTCTTGAGGACAATTTTTACAATTTCAACAAAAATAATGTAAAAAATATATAATTTCTGAACTACCGTCAATCTAAACATTTGTTATCAACTTTTTTATATTTTAGGGCCAACATGTGGTTAAGAGCTTGTAATAGGGAAGATTTGAGCAACATAGATGTGAACAGTCTTCATCGGAATTACAGGTTGTGTGAGAAACATTTTGAGAAGAATTTTTTTTTCTAAAACGTTGAACCGTAAACGTTTATTGCCTACTGCTGTTCCCACATTTTTTATCCATCTAGGTCATCAGCCAAATGTCTATCTTCTCCCTAGTACATCGACCAAGTGCTTCCTCTGTTGAGACTATCATTGAACATGAACGAGACATTTTTGAAAGCGTACCATGTGCAACCTTTGGACATTCTTAATCAAAAATCCTACCTCCAAATTATTATAATGAATTAGATGTTCTTTGATTCACTATGTCCATTGATTAAAAATGTTCTGATTGACTACATCTAATCAAAATATATATGTATTTCTTGTAAAGTAGCAAAAAGAAAACAAAAAAATGTATTTTGTGGTGTTATTATTTTAACTGTTTTTTAATTTTTGATTTGTTTCATTTATACAATATTTAAGCACTTAAACAATAATATATATAATCTTATAAACAGTTGTATGATATATACGTTAGGGAAATTAGGACAAGGATGATTAAATTCTATTTCTTTCATAATATCAAAAAAAGCTATGGGATATACCAGACATTACACAGGTATTGCTAAAAATAGATATAACATTTTTTTATAATTTAAATATATAGATAATAAACTTTTCATTTGGAGTTTTTAGACCTCCATAAGTGCTTTATTTGCAATCATATGTTAAAATCTGTGAACTATCCAAATCTTCACATTCTTTTGAAAATTTAATAAATGTATCACATCCATGTATGCCTAAAGCTTTTTTGATCAAATAGCCACAAATATATTTAAATGGATTTTAAACTATTATATCTTGTCCTGTAGCTGTAATTAGGAAGAAAAACAGCTTCTTGAGTGTTTTTATTTATTTCAGGATACAGAGAGACAATATTTTTTACATCTAATTGTAGCAAGTGCTTGTCCAGGTCTTCATTACAATTCATGGAATTGCAATGAAGATAATTTTGACAAAAACGTTTTTTAAATGCCCTTTCGAATTGTACAGGTGTTGGATTAATTAAATTCCCACCCTGTTGCCTAATGGACCCAACAAATTTTTCTAGACAGTCACTGTTGATTCTTCTAGCCATTAAATATTTAAATCCCGCAGCAGATAACCATTCCCATACAAATTTTAAACCATAAAATCGTTAAATATAAACATCTTATTTTTATGATGTGACGTTAATAGTATTTAATTATATACATAGGTAATATAAGCAATTGGGCAGCATTTTGCTTAACGGGTGACTTACAACAGGCATTTGCTAAAACTCATCTGAAGTCAAAAATTTGTACGTAGGAACAAAAATTGAAATAAAATAATTCTTGTATTGTAAATTCATTAAAAACTTACTAATTTGTAATTGTGTGTTTTAATAAATATTATTGTTATATGTTGTTTCACTTCTAAAAAGATACCTACATAACCTCATTTTAAATAAAAAAATAAGGTGCTGAGTTAATTTATTAGTTCCAGGAAGAAACCAAAAACTGTTTGACACATTTCATACAATGAATGGCATACAAAAGTAATTTATTTTATTCTAATGATAAAATTTTAAAATTGGCACATCTAGATTTTCACCGGAACTCATTTATTTAAGTTACACAATATTTTGATTAATTTATTTGCCTAGAATACATTAAAATG